CAGCAGAAAAATTGAAAGTCTGATTTTTGGACCAACAATGTTGATCAACAGAAGACTTCTGTGTTTCCTTTTTTCTAACATATGCCTCATGTTATTTGACGCAAAATTTTAAGGGTCTCTTAGTTTGGCCAATGTAAATTAAACCACACCTGGCAAGAAATCCTATAAATACACCAAGAATTCATATCCGGAATGGGGTCCTTGAGTATGGAACTCAGAATTTTATTGATGGGAGAATAAACAACCCGAAAGTTAAATTTCTGCAAAATATGTGCAGAGCTATAAAGTTGCACATATTTTGCAGAAATTTAATTCTGGAGGATTATGAAAAAGATAATTGGATTAGAAATCCATTTTGTTCAAATGTATCTGAAATTTTGTCTCATGAAGAAAACAAACAACTGATAAAAATTTCCTGTGTTCGAACTCTAGCTGAAAATTTAAAAAATAACACATTTGTTAACTTTTAGGTGAATGGGAAAACAGAATTTAAAGTCATTTCAAATAAAGGCACAAGCTATTTGTGTGAACAAGGATTTTCTTCCATGCTGTATTTGAAAAATTAAAGAAAAAAAATTAAATGTTAATCATAATTTCCGGTTAAAACTAAGTGAAATAAGACCAGGCATAAAGAAATGGATCTCTCTTAAATAAGCCCAAATTTCACAGTAAGGTTTTGAAGTAAAGTATTATAACTTATATTTTGATAATTAAAATGTTAACCACGTTTTTAGCTAATATTTTTTAATAAGTGAATATGTAATACAAATATCCAGTAGGTTGGTTGTACAAGGGGCAAAATATTTTTTTTTTAAATATTTCTGTTGTGAAATTGAAAAATAATCATTGTAAAATGTAGTGGTGGTACCTAAGTTTTTAAATTTTTATTAGATGGTATGCATTAGTCAAAAGGTTGAAAACCACTGTTAAAGAGCATTACAACATGTCCCAAAATTACAGATAAGGTACAGAAATGTAGCAGCAGGTAATGTATTCCTCATAGATATGCTTTATTCACAAGCAGAAAGCGTTTTTCATGATGGTGTTGAATGGCCTGTAACAATAATAAAATATATAAAATCACGGTCTTTAAAATTTAATGTGTGGAAATACTCTTCAAACTAATGTATGGAGATACAGGAAGCTACCACAAGTTCTTTCAGGTATAGTCTGAAACAAGGTGGTTGTCATGAGGAAATACATTGAGATGCTTGATGGACCAGCTTGCAAAAGTAGAAGCATTTTTAATGGCCTAAAACTCTCTCCTATGGACAATTTTACATGATAAAGTTGTGTTAACTAGCATAATTGGCCAACGTTTTTAGCAAAATGAATAAAATAAATGCAACACTGGAAAAAAAAAATTGCCAAAGTTTTTGATGCAAAACCCAAATTACTGTTTTAACAGAACACTTATATATTGGTTGAAATGCAAGAAAAAGTAAGATATTGATTGCTTCCTGCTAACAAACACCTTTGATGATAACAAAAGCTTTTAAGCTATATGATATTTTCATGAAAATATCATCAAGATCCATGAAAAATACAAAAAAAAAAAAAAAAAAAAAAAAAAAAAAAAAAAAAAAAATACTCAAGCACATCTCAAAGCTTTCAAAGATATTTAACTATTATTTTTCAACAGTTCAAGAGAAGATGCTTGATGATTTTAAATGGAATCTGAATGCGTTTATTGTGAACAAAAACGACCTAGTTTAAATTCAGCAGAGGTCCTTACATGCTTGCCATCTCACAGTAAACTAAAAATCATGTATCAAAATTAAAGTCTACTGGAGGTTTGGCTGAATTTACAAAGAAATTCAAAATATTTCTGAAAAGGCAAAATTAATACTTCTGTCATTCTTGAATACATATAGTCATTCTTGAATACATATATAATATGAATAGTCAAGCAGGATTCTCTTGATTAAATGCAGAACCAGACATTCACTTGCATTTGTAATGAATTGAAACCACAATAATAATAATAATAATAAAAATTAATAAATAATAAACAATTGTCAAAATTGCAACCACATCTGCCTCATTAAATGTTTATATGTTATTTTATGTTGTCTTAATTTAGACCCTAATTTGGCACTACAACACACTTTAATTGGCACAATGAAATTGAAATACCTTTCCGTAATGAGTAACAAAAATTTTGAAAACAAACAATGAACCAATATGCATTTCAATTGAACTGGATGCAATGATTAAACTAAAGAAGCTGTGTTTATTATATTGTGGTTGTCATATGTTCAGCTACCCACTTTGCCAGCTAACGTCACACTGTTTCATAACAGCTGCCCATGCCCCCAGCCGACACCAGACAGCCTTTATATTCCGTTCTGTAAAGTTCGAATATCGCGTAGTAGTACAGTCAAAAGTCTTTAAGCTGGACGTCCATAATCCAGAATGATCTATAATCCGGACCTCAAAGCTACAAACTTTCTGCGCATGCATCAACGCATAATGCGTTAACGCACGTGCATAATACGCATGCACATAATGCATTTACGCATGTGCGCTTAATGTATAACGAACGGTATAAGCTAAGCAAAAATTATCTAATTATCTATTTCAGTTAATGTTGCAGATTGCGTTGTTCCTTAATTTTCTAATTGAATCCGGCTTATTATTTTTTGAAGACTGTTAGAGCAATTTTATAAAAGTAAGCTTGAACTTTCGATTATGTCAAAAAGAATTTCCGATTCTGGAGCTACCAAAGGATCTACATAGCAAAAGCGTGTTTCAATGTCCATCAAACAAAAAGTGGAATTGCTGCAAAAAATGGATAGAGGCATATCCTTTGATTCTCTAACCATTCCGAAATATGTTAATATGTTAAAAATATGCTGCTCTGGGGGGGGGGGGGGGGGGGGCGACGCGGCGCACAATGAACTGGAAGTTGATCTGTCAGCACTATCCTTATCTTCAGGGCAGATGTTTTTATTTTATTCGGCTTATAATTCCTTACTAAATGTAATATTTCATCTCGATGTACACCGTCTTTGATATGATTTAAATTCAAATTCCTCGTCATTATAAATATCACGAATACACATCAAATAGTTTTCTGGTTGCAATTTTCTAATTTCGACTATGCATAATGTACGCTTTACGCATGCGCGCGTTGAAAGGAATGTTTTATAAAGTAAACAAATAAATATTAAGCTTTTTTTTTGTAAATTTTGATACCCTTTAGATCGTAATTGCTCTTTATTTCATACATTACGGTTTTATATTTTTAATTTTATAATTTCTGCATGCCATCTTACCAGATTTAAACTGATGATCTATAATCCGGAAAAACCGATAATCCGGAATCGCCGAAGTCCCGACGAGTCCGGATTAAAGACTTTTGACTGTACTGTGTTTTTAGGAAATAGTTGTGTTAATAAAAATGATTGTTTTAGCAACATGGAGTCATGTCTTGTAGGAACTAACTCTGAGTCACATCTACAACTCTTACAATAATATATATATATATTGTAATATCTTGTTATTTAATAAATTTATTTATATTTAATTAAATTATTTTTTAAGTGGCAACACCATATTATTATTATGTAACCATTGCTCAGCAAAGTGTGAAGTTGTTTAAAAAAAAAATTAGAGTTCGGAAGTTTTTACCAGCTAGTAGTAGTATGAAAGTTTTGCCACTAAATAATTTCTTCAAATTATCTATCTAAGTGAACTAGAAAAAAAAAAGTTATATTCTAATAAGAAGATTGCCTGTTTTGTCAATTACTGCAAAATACATTACAATATTGTTGCTCTCATCAATAACTTGTTGTAACATTAATGGTTCATTTTGTCTAATTTGAAAATAATTTTTTTGCACAGTAAAGTTTTGACTATACCATGGGTACTGTTAGCAGTTGAGAATAAAGATATATTTTAGTAAATTTCAAAGATTTTAAAATAATTTCACAGTATGGATATTGCACAGTTATTTAAATATTTCTTTACTTACCTTTCCTTTTGCTATCTATTCCCTCTTTTTCCCCTTAACCCTGCTATCAAACATTAGTAATTTGTAAAACATAGGCCTAAAGAAAGCTTTGCCACCAAAATTGATTCTAAAAAAAGCTTTGTGAATCAAAAAGTTGGAGAACCGCTAATCTAAATACCACCAATATACGAAAAGATGCCTTACATAACCATGAGGATTCATCCTCCAAACACAATATTAAATCAATAAACTCAAAAACACAATTATTTTTTTTATCACAAAAAACTACAGATTGAAAATCTTTTTTTATTCTAAAACATAGATTTTTTTCCCTTACAGAATGCATGTGTTCTTTATTTTTTTGCAGGCATTCAGTAGAAAGCATTTTCAAACCAGGATGTAGTGATATTAAGTGGAAAAGACATGCTAATATTAAGTTTTTAATTCTCATAAAGCATGAGTAGATGGGTACTGTTAGCAGTTGAGAATAAAGAAATATTTTAGTAAATTTCAAAGATTTTAAAATAATTTCACAGTATGGATATTGCGCAGTTATTTAAATATTTCTTTACTTACCTTTCCTTTTGCTATCTATTCCCTCTTTTCCCCTTAACCCTGCTATCAAACATTAGTAATTTGTAAAACATAGGTCTAAAGAAAGCTTTGCCACCAAAATTGATTCTAAAAAGGGTTTTGTGACTCAAAAAGTTGGAGAACCGCTAATCTAAATACCACCAATATACAAAAAGACGAGGATTCATCCTCCAAAACACAATATTAAATCAATAAACTAAAAACACAATTATTTTTTTTATCACAAAAAACTACAGATTGAAAATCTTTTTTTATTCTAAAACATAGATTTTTTTTTTCCCTTACAGAATGCATGCGTTCTTGATTTTTTGCAGGCATTCAGTAGAAAGCATTTTCAAACCAGGATGTAGTGATATCAAGTGGAAAAGACATGCTAATATTAAGTTTTTAATTCTCATAAAGCATGAGTAGCTCAAAACTAGAGAGTATATATGTAATAAGTCAAATTTACCTTTCCATGAGGCAAAACTCTTAATAGCACTGTTACTCCAGGTATTATAGGATTATCATCCATATGAGAAGCTAACATATGTTCAACAGTAAAATCAGGATCAGGTATTCCATGCCTAACACGCACTTGATGTCCTCCTACTCTCAAAGTAGCTTGCTATTGAACAATAATAAAAAAGTTTTAAAAAATCCAGATTATGTCATACATATCAAATACATACAATGTTTAGAAAAAGTGGTATAATAAAGAAAATTAAATATTAACCTTTCCATGCTTATTTGAAAAAGGACCAAACAAACACGATCCCAAAACATAATTCTGTTTAGAATGTTGTTCCAATGTGTATACTCTAATCATAACCACGACATCTGGATTCATTGGAATACTTTCACGATTAACTGTCTGCTTTAACTTGAATTTTGGATGACGCCAATAAGATCCCATTTCTGGAATTCCTTGAAATTTTATGGATTTGTTTTTTTGTCCCAAATAGATATTCAGTACTTTACCAGTGACCTTTAAAATAAACAGTGCATAAGAAATCAGTTTTAGAGAATATTTTTAACTACATAACATTTCTGAAATAAAATAAAACTAACAAAAATTTAAAATCCTCCATTTGTAGTATAATAAACATGCACCTAACCTACCCCCCCCCAAAGAGGCCAAACTCAATTATTCAGAATTTCATATCCGGATGGGCTGTGGTTCGAATTAAATTGATTATTTACAGTTCTAAAATAATTATAGCAGGATAATCAGACCAATCAATTTAAGCCTTTTTAATCCGAATTAGGTATCAACAAAAAAAGTACATTCACGAGAATTAGTAATTATTTACATAAAAGAAATCATATTTGATGATCCAAAAGCAAAAGGAAAAATTAAGTAATTTGAAAAATACTGGCAGTAACATGATGCACAATTCACAGAAATGCATTGAAAGACAAAGGATTTTTTTTTTTTAAATAATGAGTCATTATTAAAATATTTCATTATCAGAGGCTTTAGTTGTGTCAGAATCCCACAAAGTAATGCAGCACAGTTCACATGGCAGATGAGATTATAAATGGTTAATATGATAGCCATCAAATATATGATAGCCAGAATGACATGCATATCACTCTGCAGAGCATTGAAAAGTGTTCCAAATACACAACATTTTTATCAAATTGCTATTTCACAATGGAATAACTTCTTTCATTGTGGCTACCAGCATCAATGAACCTCTGTATACCTGTGATTCCAAATATATCATAACCAAAAAATACAATACATAGAGCTGGAGACCTTGGATGCTGTGAGGAAAAGAGCAACTGAACACATGATCATGGTTTAAGTTCTAAGAAAACCTGTGGGAAGGCACTCCATCCTGCATGAATGTGAAATTCTCTCTTGCAAGGAGAGAACAGTACTCTAGAACAGTAAGTGTTGCATAATTCTCAACTGTGATAAAAACAGCTCAAAATATACCACTACCAAATTCTTCAAAGAAAAGGAAACTTAAAATGTATGATTCAATGACCCCCTATCACCACTTGCTGATGTAAAGGGTGTGTGCATATGATACAAACATGTGCGAGTTCTCTCTCATCCGGATATGACAGCTGTGTGCATTTACACTTCCATTAAGCAAAAATTGCACCCTGTCAGTCCACAGATTGTTTCAAAGCCAGTCTCTATTACTTTTCAACTGCTAAAAAACTTGAACTGAAAATCTATGACTTTTCTTAAATTCAACTGGAGACAGTTCCTGTATGAATTGGATTTTGTAAGGTTACTTTCGAGGATGATCCTGATTAATGTCTAATCTGAAAAGCAGTTCTCTGGGATCTTGACAGTCATTCATTGGTGAAAAATTCAACTATTCCGGTAATAAAATGTTTCATTACTAAAAAAAATGAAATTTTTGTGAATTTCTGTAGCAACCATACACTTTCTGTTACTTTTGGATTTTTTACTATTAAAATACAACAATATAACTGCAAAATATAAGAAACTTTTTACATGTAAACTATGTTACTGTTACAAAAAAATATGATATTTTTATGTTGCTAGTGCTAATATTATGCCCAGGCAATGTATGGCTTTCTGAATTATAACAGACAGATTAAGTTAGAGGCTATGCCACAGGTCTTGATCATAGTTGACCACAATATAATTTTATGCAGCTCTGTTTTAAATGTGACACACACCACTCTAGGGAATGGATGTAACAATGTATATCTTATTCCATCAGCAATGATTGAGAGGAATTTTCAATTGTAAGTATCCTTTTATCTTGAAAAATTTTACTAATATAATAAGCAATTCTGCTAACCAGTATATTCATTAGCATGGAAGGAAAATTTATTGTAAATATATTATTATAAGTGCCTACTTCGTGACTAATTTTGAAAAAAAAAAAAAAAAAAAAAAAAAAAAAAAAAAAAACTAGTAATTTTGTGAAAAAAATTACCTTTATTTTTCTTTTAAGTCATTTTTAGAACAATAAAAGATTACAGAAATAAATATTTAACAGTTACTAAATGTACAGGGTGATTATAATTAAAGTTTAAGTTTCAAAACGCTATAAAAAAAAAAAAGAACCACTCATGAAAATGACGTCAAATTTGAAAGGAATGTTATTGAAGAAGGCGGGAAAGCGTTTATGGCAGAAGAAAAAATTTAGTTTCAAAAGTTAGCAACAGATGGAGCGCTCAAGCGGAAGAAGAAGATGTAAATTAAAATGTTAGTTAAATTTCAGTGTTATAAAGCCGTCAGGTACCAGGGTTCCTCATTTCGCGTCTCAGGACATTCGCCATGGGTGTTTTCACTGTGCAGGACCGTGCTCTGCTGGTAATAAAGTTGTATTACAAGAATGATGATTGTGCAAGAGTAGCTCTGCAAAAATTCAGGACACTGAAGGATATAAAAGAAGGCGTTGGTCCAATGAGTGTCGTTGTGGAGGTCTAAAGAAAATGATGCAAAAATTCGAAAACGACAGGTTCGTTTGATGTGCAATCTGGTAGAGGGAGAAAACGAGTGCATTCGACGGTAGTTGAAGAAGTGGTCCCCAGAGCATTACAGGAGGGGTCGGCCGGTGGTGTGCAACTGTGCAGTGCACGAGGAATTGCCCGAACATTGGACAAGGCCTACGAGCACGGTGCTGACACTGCTGAAAATTGTACGAAACATCCTGCAATGCTATCCGTACAAAATTGGCCATGTGCAGGAAGTTGCTTCCGTCTGACCTGACAGCTAGGGAGACGTTTGCGTTAGAATTCCTGGCTCGCGCATGGAAGTGGATAATGAATGGCCGTGGAAAATTTTGTGGACAGATGTAAAGCCCATTTCTATCTGACAGGATCTGACAGGGCATGTCAATACCCAGAATTGTCGAATACGGGCAACAGATAATCCATTGGCAACGCACCCCGTACCACTTCATCCTGAAAAGGTCACCGTATGGTCCGGCTTTATGGCATCATTCATCCTACAACCATATTTTTTCGAGTCCGGTCCTGTTACCGCAACTGTCACTGGTCAGAGGTATGTGTCTCTTTTGCGCAACCATGTGATTCCAGCTCTGCAACAGCATGGATGTGTGGATGAAATCATTTTTATGCAAGACGATGCTCCTCCGCACATTGCACATCCCGTGAAGCAGCTGCTGAGGCACCATTTCGGAAATGCTTGAATTATCAGCCATCATTTCCCTACAGCCTGGCCGTCCCGATCGCCTGATCTTACTCCGTGTGATTTCTGGCTGTGGGGATATCTGAAGGATGTTGTGTTCCGTGCTCCAATTGCAAATTAGCGGAATTAAAGGCATGCATTTCACAACACATTCTGAACATCACCCCGGAGACACTGCGATCCGTTGTGGAACATGCTGTTTGTCGCTTTCAACTTGTTGCACACAATGGTGGACACCATATTGAACATGTTTTGCGCCAGTCTCGCGACAGTTCCGAATTTCTTTGATGAATGGTTCTTATGCGGTACGTCGCCGCAAAACTCTTGAAACCGATTTGTCCCTTTCGATGTGATATGTACAGTCATGCAAATAAAATTATTCAACAATTCTAATTTGTGAATGCGCTTTAATGTGTAACTTCCACCTTAGCCGTTGTTTTACGAATCATTTCTCGTTGTGATTCTGCCGCTTACAGCGCCATCTGTTGCTAACTTTTGAAACTAATTTTTTTCTTCTGCCATACGCTTTCCGCCTTCTTCAATAACATTCCTTTCAAATTTCACATCATTTTCATCAGTGGTTCTTTTTTTATAGCGTTTTGAAACTTAAACTTTAATTATGATCACCCTGTATAATAGTTTATCAGTAAGGAAGTACTGTAATTGCAAAAAACTTTGGGTATCATACTGATTGATTGATTTTTTTTTTTTTTTTTCATGTTACCAATACATATAGACAGAATAAAAAACTCTTTTTTCCAAAACGGATTGCAAACGGATTTAAAATGGATTCAGAAGAGTTTTTTTTTTTTTTTTTTTGTGTGTGTGTGTGTGTAAGTGAAATCTGTACATTATACATGTGTATGTACCTGGCATAACTCAAAAACAAGTAGCTGAAAAACACAAAAATTTTGTACATGGGACAGATTGAAGATTAAAGGTTAGTAAGAAGGCAAAAAACTGGTTTTGATCTATGGGTTGGCTAGACAGCACTACTAGTTGTTTTCAGCTCTTGAGTAAGTAATAATCTATTTTTAAAATTTCCGGCAAAAATCTTGGAACAGAAAAAAGAATACATAAAGAAACAGATAAAATTCTTCTCGTAAATTGAGAAGCAATTATGACTTAAGAAATTATTTGGCTGTTTATTAATAAAAGTAAAGCAGCCAGAAATATAAAGAAATTTTAGAAAATATTTTACATTTGTATATTTTAACAAATCTTCTACTCTAAGCCATACAACTTTACCCTCCTTATATAAAGATTTCGGTTAATGCCTTCATATCCTCTAAACTTAAAGACTATTTCCTAAACATTTTGTCTAAATATACACATTTTAATAGGAGTTATATATATTTTAAAAATTATTACACTGTTTATGGATACATACACATATATATTTCCACCCTGTTAACCAACTAGGTGAGCTCAGTATTTTTATTCTAATATGTTGGTAAATTGTACATTTTTTTGGTTTAAAAGTGAGTTAATTATGTTGTTCTTAAGTTCCAATTAAAGTTTTTATGCCTTTAGTTAATCTGCATGTAATAGTTGTAGAATTATCAACAATTTAAAAGTAGTGGTAGTCCTAAAAAGGCTGCCATTTGTTAACACTTGAAACTCTTAATAGAATAATGAATTTAGATGGTGTACCAATTTCAGTGTCTTTCTGCCCAGTGAGACTGAAATTTAACTTTCAAATTTTGTGTACTGAAAATCTGGTCTTCTCGCCTTTTGGCTGAATTGCTTGTTTTGGTGTAAAAACTTAAGTAAAAATTATTTCTTTAACTCCATTTGGTGTAGTTTTCTGTATTTTATAATTTTTAAGGAAGATATTTAAGCTTTTTATGTATTTTTGCTTTGCCGCAAAATGAGAACTAAATTGATAGAATAAGAAACATAACTCTAGCGAAATTCGAGGAAATAAGTTTAAATGAAGTGCAAGAGGGGAAAAAAATGAAAAATGTGTATAATTAAAAAGGCCATACACGAAAGACATGTGGTGGGCCCATCTGTTTTTCTTCTTGCTGTTTTAAGGCCACAATATGATGGATGAACATACAGAAATGATTCAATTTAATACCATTCATAATTTATTAAATGTTCAAAAGCAATTTTATACATAAAATAAAAACTACTTACTTTAACAACAGTGGCATAATCTGGAACAAAGCGTACAGAGTCAATATACAGATCAAACGGCATATCAACTTTGCTTTTAACCAAAGCAGTATCCTTTATTTTTTCCTTGTTATAAGGTACCCAAGGAATGAACTTGGGAAGAGATGGCACAGGTTTTGGAGGTGGTGTTGATGCTCTTGCAGGCACGGGTACCACTGGTGGAGGAGGTGGAGGTTGAACTGGACTGGGTGATTTTACTGGTTCCTGTTTCCAATATTTTATATTTCTATTCACCGATGGAATTTCAGAAAAATTAACCTTTTTTTGAATGAAGGACAGAGCACTACGGACATCAAGCATATACAAGTAACTTGGTTCTTCCAAAAACACCTTTAAAAAAAAGAATATACAGAAAAAAACAAATAAAGCATATTTAAAAATAGAGACATTTGCATAAAATTAATGCTACATTACAACAATTTATGATGTAATTAATAAACAAAGTTTATCCAGGGATTTCAAACCCATTTAAAAAATTTTGAGAAATATTGTGGATTAAAAATCTGATTCCACATAATTCAAAATATTATTATGATACCCATGCATATAAGTCTACACACATATTTTCAATTTTTTTATTGAAGCAAAAAGTATATAAAATTAAATTATTTCACTACATCATTTCAGGAAGTTAGTTACCTTTTTGGCTTCTTAATATTTAAAAAAGTTTAACTTGTCCCCCCATCTTTTTTTTTTAAATGGGGAGGGGGATAATTGTAAATTGCTGCTTTTATATTTTTCTTCACAAATAACTGAAAATTCAGTATGATCAATCAATAAGAAAATTTGAGGTACACAATGGTTTTTCACTTAATCCTTCTAGTATTAGATAAGAACCTGAAACACACATACGAATAGATGAAAGAGATGAGAGACTGCTAGCTGGCCAAGAATGGTTAACAAAATATAAAGAATTTTGGTTGTACAGCTATTCAATAAATTATCCTAAAATCTTTAAATAACAAGATCTCGAGAGGAATTTTCTAACTACAAAATTTCACACATATTTTTGCTTAATGAAAATAAATACTATTCCACAGTTTTCACAGCACTTAAGCCAGAGATGAAGAAATACTTTTAACTGCATGCCGAAACGATCTTTTTAGTGCATAAAATGAGTAGGAATCGAGGTGATCTCTTGCAGTGCCCTTATTGTTCGCAAGACATGATGCAGTAAGAAAAACACCATCCCTGGTAGAAATTTTTTAAACGCAATTAAAAAAAACTAGATTTTAAAATAAATTACAAAAATGCCAAGAAAGGGATCTGTTCCACTGGTCATCAAATGACTGACACATATACTCTATTACTTTCAAATAAAAATTTAGAGAATGTTCTTTCTCTATACATCTTTTATCTTTTCATCTCAATAATATTCACATTTCATTGCTTATTTTCTAAATTAAAGTTGCTAGAAATGATAAGGATTGTATTCTTCAGTGGATGCAAATACTTTTTAGCATATCTAGTGTTCTCAACTTAGGCTGATCGCTACTAAATCATGCAAATATACTGTAACAGTAGATGTGCATTTATGCTTAGGATGTCCACCTTATGTCTTGGATTAACACAAGTTGTTTCGAGCTCAGTGTTGATCCCAGTTCCTACTATGGTTTCCGCTTTATTTCAGTTTATGCACTGCCATTTCACAGGTTGAGAAATAGCAGCACCATCGAAAGTGCACTGAATAAATCGAAAATAATCAGACTTCAATGAGTTACTCGGTTTATTTTCTCAAATGAACTTTATATAGTCTAAAAGTTTTAAATTAATGTCAGTTCTGAATAATGTATTTATTCTTAAAGTACAAAGAAAGGTAGTAAATCTGCATTTAATAAATTCAGACATTCAGAATTTGAATGCAAAATATTATGGATATTTACCATATGAGAAAGTAAAAAATCTGGAAATCCAGTTATATCCGGAAAACAATCACCCTTTATGATAAAAAAGTTTATTTTGTTACCAAATGCAATTGTATGTTTAGTAAGTTAAAGAACAAGAGAAATTCTACACATTTTAAAGAAGATCTTTTCAACTTACAGAAAAACTCTGCACATTTTAAACAAGGTTGATATACAGATTTTTCTTTTCATGTAGGAAATATATAATCTGTACATAAGACAGAAGTATGCCACTTAAATAAATAAAATAAAAATTGATAAATTATGAAAGACGAAGGAGCAGTATTAGTTCTATTTATTGAACACAGAAACTTCTTTTCTATTCATTTAAATAACCAAAAATATTGCACTTTTCAATCCCATAAAATTTTACTCAGGAAGAAAGACACATTTTGTGTTTAATACGACATGCTGGCAGCAATGTGTTTTTCATTTTATCAGCTATCAAGACTTTCAAAACCTTTTGCTATGCACTTTGATTTTCGGTAAACACAAAACAAAGTAATAGAATAAATGTTTCATTAAATATGGGGACCTGATTATAGTGTGAAATGGTTGAATGTGCATAAATGTGATGGTATCACATGCTTTAAAGATAGCTTGAATAAATTATTAAGGGTTTGCCATATGAAAATTTAAATTTTAATCAAGTACACTAGGACATTACAAAAACTTTCTACACAGGTTGTAAGGTTTTTAATAAAATTATACATGATTACATAAGTTAATTTTTTATATTATGATTATTTATATAAGTTTATTTGAAATGTTTTCAATACTTTTGATAAATTCAATTATTTAACAAAGTCAAAAAATAAATTTATGTAAATAAATATACATATAAGACATTTAGACTTCTACATGAAAGTAAATTAAGACATTAAACATATAGAAAAAATTGCAACATATGAAATTATTTGGACTAAAATTAAACTGAATTTAGATATTAAATTCATCTTCAAAATAGGTTATTCTGCTTACATATTTAATAACAGAAATTATTACATATAATGAACTTACAACATTTTAATAGTAATACTATTTGGCATGTCTACCACTCTTTAGAAAACAAAATGATTAAATTTGTAAATAATTTGGGAGTTTACAGGAGTGCAAAATTGGTAAAAACAGCAGTCACCCCTGGCAGCTAAAACAGTCCTTACCGGGTTAGGCATGGAGTCAAATTGGGCTTGGATGACAGAAACGGGCAACTCATTCCATGCTGCTTCAAGTCTATGACACACTTTATCAATAGAATTAGTTGAAGAGAGTTGGCGAGCCAGTCTTCCAGGAACCCATGACCAAATGTTTTCAATGGGGACAGATCTGGAGACTGTGCAGGCCAAAGCAACAAATGAATACCCTGTGTATCGAGGAAGGTCAGAACACGAAATGCAACATGTGGTCTTGAATGATCTTGTTGGAAGATGGCGTTTGGCAGGCCTCAAATATAGGGCACAATTATGGTCAAACCAAACTAGAGATGTGCGTGTCGTGTATCCAATGGCTGCCCAAACGACATACTAGGTGCAGGCCCCTAGGCTAAGATCAAATGCAAGGAGGCGATGCATTGTCTCCGCGGAGCCTCCAGAAATGTACATGTACTTATCACCAGCTGAGTTGTTGTACTGCCTGTCATATGACTATCAGCATTTGTACTCAATAGGTGAAGCATTCTATTATCACTAAGCCTAGGCAAAAATCTCTACAGAATATTAAAATTTAATTAAAAATTAAATAAATCTGTACCTGAATTTATACAGTTACTTTGGAAGATAGGTATTTGTGACTTGTAGTTATTAAAGAGACTTTGACTGCGTTGAAATGTTTTTTTGAAGATTGCTTTTAGATTTTCGCAGTTCATTGCCAAGTGGTCTATGAGAGTTTTAAGCTTTGTTTCATAGCAGCTTACTCTTTTGGAGTTGCTTCAGCTATACATATGGATTTTTAGCTGTGTATGGCCAGAAATGTAGGTCTTTGGTTGATTTCACACTCGAACATATAGTGATTGATGGTACCTGTTGAGCTGCATATGCATGAGTCTGTGTGGTGCAATATAAAGCGAAACAGATAAGCTGCAAAAGGGCCATGTGCTGTCAGTAAATATGTCATTGTTCTGCTGTAGTGGTTAATTTACATGAGGGCATCGGAAGGAAATTAAACATCCTCCATTCCTGTTAGCCCTTGTGTCCAGATAGTTTCCCACAGGGACATAAGGCCTGTTCCAGTCTTGATTAAAGATGTGATAATGTATTGGCAGAGAGATGGCTGGGGCAAGTTGTCCATTTGCACTATCTCTTGCCAGGTGGTCAGCTGCTTCATTGTCTAGTGTGCCCACATAGGCGAGTGTCCAGTGAAGCTTAGGACAGGTACGTTATATGGCCATCAGAATACTGCACACAAAACTGGGACTCGTTTGAAAAGATGACATTGTTCCATTCCTGTATCGAACTTTGTTGTTCAGTGCACCAGAGTCACTATCTCTCTGTATGCTGCTTTGTCAAGGGAAGCCAAAGTAATGGTCGTCGTGCTGATGGTCCACACTGCTGCAAATATTGACGCACCATACAAGTGGATACTGGGAGTGCTGCAAACATGCCCATTTCCTGACTAATAGTGAAATTGTATAGTTTTGCAGAGCTGACCTTACAATATGTCTGTCCTCTCGGGCATTAGTCATGGGAGGGCATTGAGATCCTGCATGGCATTCGATAGCAGCACATTGATTCCATATTTGCATGACAATGGTTGGATGTCGACCAGTGCAACGGGCATTATCATGGAACAATAATCTAGAGTCATCAATAGACAACAATCCTGCCTTTATTGAATTCCAATAGTTGCTGGTAAGTCTTTCTTCTTATTATTCGAGGCATAACACAATATTCTGAGCAAACTCTGACCTTACAAAGTGCTTTTTGAATGAGAAATCCACTACACAACTTTTCTTTTATGCAGTGCTTCAGATATCATTTCTCCGTCCTGCACCATCTAAATGTGCTGAAATAGTAATCATTAGCATATCCCAATCTCTTCTTCCTTTCATGTTTTTTTTGACATTCATCAGATCATTCCTTCCTGGTGTTGCAATTATAATGGCCAGCAGTATATATTGAATAGTAGCTGAATTCATGCATTGATGACTATTTCAAACTTCATACTATTGGCTGAGGCACATACTTTATCTTTAAATCATTTAAAATAGGCATTTCAGGACTACACATAATAGCACTAAGAAAACTTCTTTATTAAAAGAATAAGTGGAATTACTGCTCATCGGTGTTTATATAATGTTTCTGTAAATCTTCTTTCACTTTACCTTTCAATTAAGAGTTGATCACTCAAGAATATGCAGATATCACTGACAAAGTCAACAACAGGAATCCCAACTTGTAGAAAAATTCCTCTTTTAGAAAGCTGAGGCATAGCATATTCCTATTATTATCATATATTGAGCACATGTATTTTATATTTGTGCATATTTTTAGTAATCAGAACTAGCATTTTTTATACATAAAATTTTCTTTTATTATGTAGATATGTAAAACATTCTGTACAATGTTCCTCAAAGATGCAAGATGGTGCCCTTAATGATGTTTGCATTATCCAGATCAAAGATTAGACATGAAGGGAGTAAAAAAGAAGCTGATGCAAATCCAGACTATGTGACTAATATATGTATATTACATTAACTGGTCTCTAAATTATAACTATGGTAACAAATTACTTGCAACTGCTATAAAATCCTTAAAAAATTTCACTCCTAAATTAAAAATGATACTAACATAGGTCTTTCCCTAAACAAAGTACAATAAAGCAAATTAAAAAAATTTTTTTTTTCATTTTGCTCATTTATTCCCCCCATACAGATATTACATATTAGTTTTAGTGGTTACAGTTTAATTTTTCATAATATTGATTAGCAATTTATTACTATTCTTTTCAACATTAAGAGAAATACATAAGGTATTGAATAAAATAATTAATTTTTCTTAGGGGCTTAAAAAAATTATGCCTTACCTTCTCGATATCACTTTTACTTTTTGAGAGCATAAACCATGGCTTTAATAGGCCCATTAAAGATAAGCACACATCTTGGAAAATTTTATTTTCCCATTTATTTAAAAACAATTGGTCCCAAACTAGAAACAGACAGTTTGCTTTTAATACACTCGAAAATGCCTGAAAACAAAAGAGAAAACATTTATTCAGAACAACCCTTACTATTCATCTATCAATAAATGTGTTTGGGCTTTTTATACAGTTCACTATAAATATATCGAGTTTTAATGAAACTTTCCAGCCACTGAAAATTTTGTCTGTGCAAAGAGTTCGCGTTGGCATGTTTAACCATATTTTGTCAAATGATTTTTGGCATCTGAAAGAAAATGTCTTGCTTTAGAACACTGTGTGAACACAGTTGTGAAATTTGTAAAAAAATACTGCTATCATTAAGGTGTCTGAAATGGAACTATCATGCTACCAGATTACACCCATCATTTACTTCCACTTCTATTGCAAAAACTTAGCTACAGAATGCTGCTAAATCATGTATACAGCTTTAGGTACTAATATTGCATCATATGACACTGTGAAGGTTTGGTACCAAAAGTTCAAAAACAAAGACTATGGCATTCAAAAAGCAGAGTGCTTTGGTTGGACTACTGGTATTGGTAAGGCCCACCTGTAAGAACTGGGGAAGAAGATCAGTATGCAACCATTCGAATGTTTGCTAAGGAGCCACATCCATTAGTCCTATGCATTGCATAAACTTAATGTACAAGTTCAATCACTGGGTGCGTGTGAGCTGATTCAAGTAGATAAGAACAGATGTGTTCAGGCCTGTACTAATCTGCTGGAATATCAATGCACGGACAAAATTCTGACCTGGATTGTCCCTTGTGATGAAAAGTGGATTTACTTCAACAACACAGGCCAAAAAGGGGGTTGGTCTGCACCCGGTAAGCACGTCGGCAGCATCGCAAAGCACAGTTTGACTAACAAAAACTTCATGCTTTGTATCTGGTGAGATTTTCATGATATTAAAGGTAAAACCCTTGACAGTAAGATGTACAGCGAGATGCTAGACCGTGTTGACACTGTTATCAAAGAAAAGTTTCGAATTGAGTTCCGGCATAAAAAGTTAATGTTCCATCAAGACAATGCAAGAGCATATGTGTCTGCATTCACCAGCTGGACTGTGCAAGGACTAGAATAGGGTCTTTTGCCACACCCACCATATAGCCCTGACATCGTTCCTTACTTCTATTTTTTTCGCACCTGTATCTGTATTTTGTTGGTGCTATCTTCCATTCTGCTGAGGACATCTAAAACGAGAGTGATCTGTTTTTGGGCCACTAAGTTTCTGGGCCGAAGTCTTTGAAAAACTATCAAAACATTAGCAGAAAATCATAGATTTGGATCGTGATTACTACCTGCACTAAAGTAGGCTTCGCACACATTTCTGCACATGGAAATTAAGTACTTTTAAGGACTTTTAAGGACCATTAATGAGAAAAATTAAGGACCTATCAGCCAATAGAAGCTAAAAAATTCAATTCAATCGGCTTATATCTGAATTTCACTTTTGTAATAACATTCTAAGAATAAAATAGATCTGAAAGTATAATGCATTCTTATTAAACATAACTTTAAAACAAATTTGAGAATGAAATCCATATTATAAAATTTATCAAACAGCATTAAATATTTAACGCATAAAACAAATTTGAAACATATTAAAAAAAATTTGAGAATGAAATCCATATAAAATTTATCAAACAGCATTAAATATTTAACGCATATAATAGTTGGACATATTTGAAAGAACTTTGGGAACATTTCATTTACATTTTATTAGCAGCTTTATGCTGATTTTTTCTTTTATGTCTCATTTTGCCATGTACTTACTCAGTCTAAAGGCTTAGTAAATAGCAGGTAAATTTTATGTTAAATGGCACAGGTTAAAATGAGAAATAAAATCATAATCGGCATGATTTGTAACAGAAGATTAGCTATTGCTAATGCTGCTGCTTGCCGAGAGAGAGACCTGTTGATCAGAAAAAAAATGAAAGCCTGTTGTAGGCATGGCTGGCAAGTTTTGGAAGTTATTTGTGCTTCGTCTGTCTGAAGCAATTAGTGTATAAGGTATTTCTCCCACATTTCTTGGCATGTCTTCATGGTGTGGTGCTCTGCACACTCGGCTCGTATTTGAGAGATCCGCAGTTTGATTCCCGGCAAAAGCTTTGCATATTTTTCATCTTTCCTGCTTCCAAAAAATACCTAATGTCTCTACAGAGGCGCCTGAACTAAATGGGTGGTGGATGATGATTCTCCTCACCCAGGATTTGGGGATTGGGTCCCCTCAAGCCCCAGTCACCTTTTAAAAGGGGGAGTATTTCTCCCGCCTTCTTGACATGTCTTCTTGGTGTGGTGGTCTGCATGCTGGGCGCATATTCCAGAAGTCCGCGGTTTGATTTTTGGTGAAAGCACTTGTTCATTTTTCATTTGTTCCTGTTTAAAAAAAAATCCTAATGTCTCTACAAGTGTTGTACACTGCTCAAAAGAAAAAAAAAAAAAAAAAAGGGGGGGGGGGGGACAGTGCTATATCTCCCATTCTACTCGGCCGATTGACAAAATTCAAATTGCGTTCTGCATGTCTCGAAAGCGCGACTTAGGATATATATTAGATTTATATACAGCTGTACTCTAACATAGTTATTTTGACACGAAATCGGACTTTTTCTGAAATAACATACCAATTTTTTTACATATTTCGATTCTACAGCTCAAATTACGCCTAAATATGATAAATATAAAGTAAACAAATAAATATTAAGCTTTTTTTTTTGTAAATTTTGATAACCTTTAGATCATAATTGTTCTTTATTTCATAAATTACGGTTTCATATTTTTAATTTTAGAATTTCTGCATGCCATCTGATGAGATTTAAACTGATGATCTATAATCTGGAAAAATCGATAATCCGGAATCGCTGAAGTCCGATGAGTCTGGATTAACGACTTTTGATTGTACTATAAAATGGAAAGTTTCATTTGCATTCAATGTTTGTCAGATCCATGCATATTACACAAATTCACAGCCATATATCAAGAAATGCATTATTTTTTAATTTTATTTTTTTAATTTTTAAATTTTTATTCTTGGCATGTTACATGAAGACACTGTTGTCAATGAAATTCTTAATATTTTTTGTCAGCAATTTTTATGTGTGTGTGCATGCTTTTAGATCAAAATGATACAACAAATAAAATTTTTTCATTTTTTTACTAAATTCAGGTATGGAAAATTCAAACTGGTCAGTGCCTCAGGCGTTTCGAAAAAGCTCATGCCAAAGGTGTGACCAAAGGTGAAGGCCAAAGGTGAAGCAGTTTTCTAGAGATAGCAGTCAGCTGCTTAGTGCATCATTTGACCAGGCAATTAGGTAAGCATTTTCAATTTTTTTTAGTCTCTTTACCAAAGATATTTAGTTACATAATTTTTAAAATTGTGTCCATGATTGTCAACTAATATTCTGTGTGCTTCGAATAAGAAATAGTGAAAATTAGAACGCAGAGTGTTTTAGTGGTTTTATTTTATTATTTGAATAACTCATCAATATATGAAATTTGTATGGCCAAATTTTATGAACTTTTCCTCAGAGATCCAAAGGAAACGTATTTATATTCTTATATTTATAGAGTCTATAGATATTTTTGTTTGAAATCCCTTCCCGTTACTAAAACAGTATTTGAAGACTAAGTTTATTTAGTCAAAACAGTTTACGTTTCTGATCACAGACCCACCAAAATACTCAGGAAGTGGTCTGGTGCCTTTAAAAATAGTCCAAAGCCATGTTACCTCAATTATTTTAGAACAAGGTTCATTCCATGTGTCTTCTAGAAAGACTGGATCCAAAAGACATAAGTTCTGAAGAATGGCACTCCTCTATTTCAACAGGCAGTGTCCTGGAATTGCTGAGAAATCACTATGTTAATCATGTTATCACAAGAAACTTAATGAATGTCTTTTGTATAGGATTTGCTTATCCCCTATAGCCCTAAATTCATGGAGCTGTGTTATAGATACCATTTGCTGAAATCGATCGAAAATAATAAAAGAGACAAAAACAGCAATATCAAATGAAGTATGATCAATTTCAATAAATCAACTCAAGCAGCTTAGTCAGAAATCTGAATTGAGACTTCCATTCTCTAGTCTCTTCAAGTGGCGAACATTTTGAAAAATTTAGCTTTTAATTTTCTTTTTTCTCATAAAATTTTAAAATAAATATTTAGACATACAAAGTTATTGATATTTGTATTGCTCTGTAAAGTACTCTGTATATCTATTGTAAAAGTCCTTTACAGTAGATAGAAATCCTGTGCTGTATATAATATGATCTAATATTATATTTTTATCTGAAATGTTGTGAGTTTTTTGTATAATTGTAATAAAATATTTCATTTGAAATATTTTTTCTCATTTTAGTTAAGGTCCCATGATTTGGGAATTAATATTTTTAAGATATTCATTTATTAATGATAATAAAAAATTACAATTTTAACCTTACAAGAGGACTAAGCCATATATATGTATTCAAATTCCCCCCCCCGTGATACACTTAAGTACGCACCCATGCATCTTGAAATATATCCCAAACAGTTAAGCTGTATAAATACTGGAAGAAAAAGAATCAAGGTACAAAATAAGAGGTCATTTTGGAAAGAAAAACTAACACTTGCTAATGAAACTGTGTGGAAAGTTTGTAGTTCTGGGGCCCAACACTTGGCCACTTGGAAGGTTAATAAGATGTTTAAAATGTTTTAGAACCTGCTCTTCACGCGTTGGACATTATTCTGGAAGTCTAAAAAAAAAAAAAAAAAAAAAAAAAAAAAAAAAAAAAGCTATTAGACTTCTTAACAACAACTACAACAAAACTTTCAGTGATAATCAAGTATTTGAACAAAACCAAGTACAAAGCATACCATTTTGCAACTACTACCATAAAAGGGTAAATAAAGTAGCATGTGCACCCACAGATTGGTAGACATAATGTACTATCTGTGAGTTATGGATTGTGTGGAAAAGTACACTATGCAAAAGGGGGGACACTTCTGTATGATTGATGAAATTCAAATTGGGTTTTCGATGTCTCGAAAACGCGACTTAGGATACATAC